AGTCTGTTGCAGGTAATTTTTGTAATATTGTGTATTGCTCCTCTGCAAGACGTCAGGTCCATCCCGCAAAGTGGCTGTTGTCCACCAAAGAATGAAAATAATCGACTGCCTCTTAAAAATTGAAATTGGCTGTGAACAAAGTTGTGGAGTAAGGACGAAGTGAGAATTGATTTGTTGGCGCTCACAGAACTTTCTGAGAAAACGATTTCTAAAACTTCTCGTAGGCGACAACACTGTGCATTTATGATGTGAAGGATTACAAAAACCCGCCTGACGCAAAGTGTGTCGTACTTGGCGAGGCTCAAGCGTCATTCGCAAGGCTCTGGTGGATAAAATCGCCTGGTCTCAGGCCAAACAAATCAAGTGAAGTCTCCAGAGCCTAACCAAGTGTGGCTGGGTTTACTGGGCGTGGTCGCCGATTTGCGTGGACCCTAGCTAAGTTGCCTGATATTTTTCCGTCCACCACTTAGCGTGGGAATTACATGAAAAGTTTTCTAGGTTCGTTTGGAAAATAGTGGCACAAAGAATTCAGCATTTGTGTATTCTCTTTTGGACAAAGAGTAGTACTCTTAGTCTGATTCGCTTAACCTGATCTTTTTTTTTTTAGTGACATGCAATTTCCATGCCATCCATCCTTTACCTCTTTGGGAGTCTCACATCGCGATCTTAAACTTTCTGTGTCGGGAAGAAAGTCTGAAGGAATGTCTCGGGGAAGGAGGTTGTGTGTGGCTTCGCGTGTACTGGGTTACTTCCCGTGCTCTATTTCAAACACTGCTACCTCCGACTGTCCGTCCATTCCGGTAGGTCCAATAAAATCGGCCCGGCCGATTGTACTTAACCAGCATGAAAAAATGTCGCGATGCCGAAGGTCTCTAGTAAAAAATTACATAAATAACAAGTTTCGTAAAGTATATGAAGTACATAGCCCACAATGTCTCGTAAGGGTTACCTTATATTGTTTTTCACAAAATGATGGGGTGGAAATTCTGAAGGACAGTAATAAAATAATATTACAAAAATTTCGAAGGTCGTCATGTTTTAGAAAGAGTAGACATCCCTACCATAGTAATTCCAAACTTGCCATGATGATGAAAAATTAGCTTATGCGAAATACTATTTATCGGCCCAATCTAATTCATCATCATGGCCAGGTTCATAAATGACGTTTTTATTGTTCATTCTGTCTCGTTGTGTCCACACCGTATGTCCATACGACGTTTTTGCGGATTGCCAAGAAGACCTCCTTCTAACTCCAACACCACCTTGTAATGCCCTGTATTACACAACATAATTTGTTTAACGAGCACAATGGCGGGAATGTACGATTTTAAGAATAACGTGAAAACCGTTTCTCGTAACAGGTGTGAGCCTCCGCGCAAGAGAGGCGTAGAGACTGGCACCACACACACAGACACCACACTACGTACATCGCGGCGCACACACATTGCGGACGGCGGGGCAGCGTGTGTCTGCCCTCTCTCTCTCTCTAGAGAGCAAACCTAACCCCCCCTTTCTAGTTTTTATGTAGTTATCTACCATAAAAATCAGAATAAACCGCTTCAACACTTTGATTTTGACGTTATATTACAAATACATTATTATGTATATGATGATGTATAAAAAAATTTACAGAGGTAATGGTTTATTTTTTCTCGCTATTGCAGCCTCGAATTGCCGATGGTCACCAGGGAAATATTAACGGCGGGGTCCGGCTGAATTATAACCCCGAGTCATGGTGGATAGTAGACTTGTGACTGCCTGTGTGCCCGGTCCGTGTCCCGGCGGTCGTCGGGTGGTTTTACCGACCTGGCTCCTCTCGTCGGCTCCCCTGGTGGCTGCTCCGTCCCTCTCCGCTCGTCGCGCTGCTTAATCATATGCACGGGCCGCTAGTGTCTGTCGATCTCCAGATTAACAGCAGGTTTAGAATAACCTGCCGAAAGTGCCGATGCTCCATGGCGGAGGCTCCGGTAGAAATTGCCGGGATTTGCGTTTTTACCCCCTTAATATCTGACCAATGGTTGAACAGCATTTCCGTGCACATGACTTGTGTTTAACGTTTATAGTCCGTTTGAGTTTTGCTGTTTGAACGCAAACCGAACCTTCTGAAAAATGAAACAATGTAACAAACTGTGGTCTGGTGTGCACCAGAGAAGCGGACTATTAGGTGTGAATGCACCCTAACACAGAAAAGACCTGTCTAAGACTAACCTGTGGAAAAGCTGGTGAAAAAATCACACTTAATGCAGTGGTGCACTTCAGCCTTATGTGGCCATATACATATAATAACAAACATATCTTGCCAAAAAACGACCCCATTCCCTGCTGAAAGTTAAATAACTTTCTCCTGTTATTTAACTTAAATGATAAACATAAAAGAGAAAACCTATTTAGATCACCAGAATGTTTTTTCTCACTTGCCTTGCTTCCACAAAGATCTCCTTAACCAACCGACTAATTCTTGTCTTTTTCTCTTCCTCTCCTGCCTCAGTGAACACCTTCCAGCAGCACTTTGCAGCAGCTATTGATTCGTTCCAGGATGCAGTGAAGTGCCTGTCAGAGTTTGTGTGTAACGCAGCGTTCCCTGACACCAGCATGGAGGCTATCAGACTCATCCGACACTGCGCCAAATACGTGTCAGAAAGGCCACAGGTGGGAACAATGAGATTAATAACGCCAATTGTGTGACAAGATAACGGCACTTAATTAATTAGTGAATAGCACTGTGGTTTCTTAAACAGTTTTGATGTGTCCCTGCAGGCGCTGAGGGAATACACCAGCGACGACATGAATGTTGCCCCCGGCGATCGGGTGTGGGTGCGTGGCTGGTTCCCCATCCTGTTTGAGCTGTCCTGTATCATCAACCGCTGCCAGCTGGATGTCCGGACCAGGTCAATATAAACGGCTCATTAATTTCAACGTGGGGACTGGTTTACAGGGATTTGTCCTCCAAATTTCCTCCATGTGTATGATGACCTTATTAACAATGTTCAAATAAGCAGCGAGGACTAATACAGTGAAGGTGTCACTAGTAAGTTAGTCAGTTATCTTACTATACTAATACTTATTCTATCCAATACAACAATTTGACCAAAAAGCATTGAAAGTTTAATTCGAAATCATTGAAGATAAAATAAAAAAAAATGTAAAATCCTCTGCCTGGGGGAAAAAAGGTGAATTCTGAAGCCTGAGTTTACCTATGTGACATAAGGCATTAACCTATCCAAAAGCCCTGAACTGTTACACAAGTCTTTTCCTCCTCAACCTTCCTTTTCAAACATATTACAACCATTGGATTCAGTCAGAAAGTGTTATTTTATTGCTATAAACATCCATTGTAGAGTTTACTAGGTCTGTCATTCTTAGGCCATATGATAAAAAAATCAAATAAAGGCTTGGTTGTTTGAATATGATCAGGTTTATCGACAATTATTAAGCTTTTTTTGCACTTATAAGATCAAATGAGTGGTAGTTTTAAAGTGCAAGACAGTTTGTAAAGTGTTTGGGTGAGCAGCATTGATTAAATATTGATTGATCCAGGAGGTCCTGAGTCTGTGAAGCAGCTTGACTGATGAGTGAGCCGTTTGTCTTTTTCTCTGACAGAGGTCTCACGGTCATGTTCGAGATCATGAAGAGCTACGGCCTCACCTTCGAGAAGCACTGGTGGCACGACCTCTTCAGAATCGTCTTCCGCATCTTTGACAACATGAAGCTCCCTGAGCAGCAGACAGAGGTCAGAGGTCACTCGCAGCAAGTCCCATGGTTGTTTGTGTTTTGACTACTACTTAAGGATATCCTCTGTGGTTTTACAAGGCAAAAGACAATGTAAAGAAGGGATTTTTTTTAAAAGATCTGCTTTTGTTTGTCTCCTGTTTGCCTGCAGAAAACCGAGTGGATGACGACGACCTGTAACCACGCTCTGTATGCCATCTGTGACGTGTTCACCCAGTTTTATGAGCCTCTCAGTGAAATCCTGCTGGCTGACATTTTCACACAGCTGCAGTGGTGTGTCAGGCAAGGTGGGTGTTCAAAGCATGTCCACAGAACACTCACCTGTTCACACAAAGAGCGAAACATAACACCTACTATGCTTTGCCAGATTTTTACAAACTAGGGCTGTAGAAATGTTATGTTGTTAAACTTCCATTTTATCCATTTACTTTTTTGTGTGTGTATACAATCAAAACAGAAATATTTTTATTTTTATTTTTTTTAGATCTATTCTTTTAACTTTTTTTATTACTTAGATTTGTATAACCAATGCTATTTTTATTTTATTCAATTTTTATTTTAATATTTCCTCTTTTTTATTCAATTTATTATTATTATTAATAATTTATTTAAAAAAAGTGTTTTACCTAATATATATTGTAACTATTTCTCTATCTTAACATGAATATAGGTATCAGCCTTTGAACACATTTTGAAACAAAACAGCTAGTTGTAGTAAGATGCTATACTAACATTATTGGGATAGAGAGAGGGTCTGAAAATATGTTTCACTTGTATCATTAATATCATTGAGTTGCTACAATTTGTTTCAAAAATAAAAAATTATCTATTTATTTTGTGGGGGAAATACTCAGTGAAGTTCCCAGTGTTTGTGTGAGGGGGCTTTAAGCTCCTCCTCTCCTTCCTCTGCAGACAACGAGCAGCTGGCCCGGTCGGGGACCAACTGTCTGGAGAACCTGGTGATTCTGAACGGGGAGAAGTTCAGCCCCGAGGTGTGGCAGATCACATGCGCCTGTATGCTGGAGATCTTCCAGAACACCAGCCCGCATGCGTGAGTCCTCAGTCACTTTTCTTCCAGACAATTTCATTACAAAAAAAAAACTGATATTACTCAATGTAACTAGTTCATTAAAGTAGTTGAAGGTTAGTGTGCCTCTGTGACAGAGGATTCTTGATCTGCCATTCTGTTTGCTTCCAGTTTGTTGACATGGCGACCGGCTGGGCAGGATGAGGAAACTGCAGATGGCAAGCATTTAGTAAGGAAATAAACAAATACTTACATGTCTTAACAATAAATACAGGATGTTCTACAGCAGATGCTTCATACTTGGTCTGAAATACGATTATTATATTCCGCAGTGAATCAGAAGTATGACCCTAACCTGTGAATATGGATCGTTTGTATTTGTCTCCAGGACGCTGATTTTGACAGCGTGTCCCAGAGCAGCTACGACAGAGCTCTGTCTGAGAGGGGACACAGCCAGATGTCCAGCGACGACACCTGGAAGGGCAAGTCCAGTGCTAGTGAGTACACACACACTCATACACACAACACACTCAACCTCCACCTGAATCTACAGTGGGGCAAAAAAGTATTTAGTCAGCCACCAATTGTGCAAGTTCTCCCACTTAAAAAGATGAGAGAGGCCTGTAATTTTCCTCCTAGGTATACCTCAACTATGAGAGACAAAATGAGAAGAAAAAAAAATCCAGAAAATCACTGTCTGATTTTTAAAGAATTTATTTGCAAATTATGGTGGAAAATAAGTATTTGGTCAATAACAAAAGTTCATCTCTATACTTTGTCATTGCCAACAAAGGGTATATAACAGAGGTCAAACGTTTTCTGTAAGTCTTCACAAGGTTTTCACACACTGTTGCTGGTATTTTGGCCCATTCCTCCATGCAGATCTCCTCTAGAGCAGTGATGTTTTGGGGCTGTCGCTGGGCAACACAGACTTTCAACTCCCTCCAAAGATGTTCTATGGGGTTGAGATCTGGAGACTGGCTAGGCCACTCCAGGACCTTGAAATGCTTCTTCCGAAGCCACTCCTTCGTTGCCCGGGCGGTGTGTTTGGGATCATTGTCATGCTGAAAGACCCAGCCACGTTTCATCTTCAATGCCCTTGCTGATGGAAGGAGGTTGTCACTCAAAATCTCANAAAAATGCGGGATTAATGCGGCCTTTCTGATAAATCATTCGGCCTTTCAAACATCTGCCGCATTTTGCTGATTATCGCTGTAACATTCTCGATCGCCAGAATACGTTTTACTGGAGGGTCCTAAATGTCCTAATTAACCAACTTAGCCCTGATGTTGACCCACAAACGCAACATCAGCCCTTTAAGTGAACCGGATTTATTGAATCATAATGCCATTAAAGTGAATTCGGGGAATGATTGTAACAGTTAAGTTAGCCTACAAGACACAACGTTAGCTCGTGTGCAGCTAGGTAAGCTAAGTATTTAGCATTGCAGCTATGCCCCGGCTACCATCACAATGAAATGTTTTGTATAATTAACTACAACATTGAATATATTGAAACGTTTAGAGTTGTGAGATTGAAGTTACTTGCAACCCCAAACTTAAAATATGTTTTCATTGAATATTTGCTAAGTTTAAGCAGGATGGAGAAGTCTATAAGCTAGCTGGCTACCAACATTAGCTTAGCCATCTCTTGTAACTTTTACCCTTAAATACTAGTTACATTTGACCATTTACCTAAAAACACATTGGCATGTGATCTAATGTCTGGTGCTCTTACCATTGTGAGTGTGTTGTGATTTTTTCACGATATCTGCGGCGTGCAGGTTCATTTAATTGTTTGACATAGTCGGTGTCCTCCATGATTCCTGCGTTGATGAATGATTGCGTTTTCACTTCCTGACCTCCACTTGAATTGTGCGCGTCATAGAAGTCACGTGACTGAAACCAAGCTATTGAGAGGCTCCACGATCCGCCATTGCTGTAAAAAACTGGTCCATTGGAGTGAACGGAGATGTCGTAACTCTTCTATTACATGGCTCTGGGTAACTCCTTGCCTTTTATTATGCATCACCTTAGGTACACTGGACTGCTTCCAATAACACTTCAACACGTTTTTAAAACCCAGATGCAGAATATTTTAAAAATATTAAAAAAATCAAACCAGGTGCTCACCACGAGAATTACCCTTTTACTGGGATGTGATCCAGATTCAATATTTTTCTCTCACACCCCCTGCAGTCAATTAAAACACTCCAGACAAGTTGGAAGATTTCAGCATATTAAATACTACTGCAGCAACTGCTTCGAGTGCTAAAGCTATAAAGTGAAAATAACTCTTTAAAAATGAGAGGCAGGGTTGTATAAGGGATTTTTAAAGTGATACTCTAACATTATAACTTGCCAATTCTATGCTCTTGTGATGTCTGATTGCTCCGTAAAGACTTGCATTGCAGCCTGGAGATATCGCAGCTTTATCCTAAAATTGGTCAATTAAATTGTAAAATCAATGTTTAAGCTCAAAGGCAGCCGATGGACGATACTTGTAATGACGTCCTGAGCCTAATTCTTAAGCTTTTCCAATCTGCTCTGTGCCACATATGCTGATTAAACATTCTCTTTTTATTTTTTTACTGTAACACTGCAGCATGATGCATCATTAATCTGAATGACAGTCATGGTGGTATACTCAGCATCTCATCTAAAAATCAACAACCTCTTCATATTCATTCTGAACGATAGCATCAGAGCAAATTGTGTCTGGCTTTAATCTCAGGTGAAACATGTCAGGTGAATCTTGATGAAGCTGCATCTTTGCTGCGAGCTCTTTAGATGCTCGTCTAATCAAAGCCGCAGCATGCCGCTCGCCTGAGGCTCCACTGTTGACAGCCTTTAGGGGATTAATGCTGATTTCCCTTTTGGTCAGAGTTACTCTTTTGAGGGTCCGACTCGCTCCGGCGCCGGGCCGAGAGTACTATCCAGTTGTCACTGATACCCAGCTTACTGTTGTTTGATGCTGGGCATGTCTCTGCGGCGCCCCAGCTCATCTATCACAGTAACTGTGAATGGCGGACGGGGACTTGGAGGAACAGAGGCAGGCTGCTCCGACCCTCTCTTCTCACACTATATACTTAGTAATCTGTGCCGAGGCTATTCCCTCAATAGAGAATGGAGACCTTGTGTTCTGAGGCTTCAGATGGGCTAAAACAACACAGCACACACCACCGAGACTCTCCAGTGGGATAAGGCTATGTGAGGATATTGTGCTGCATACTGGAGTTTTGTGTAAAACAGATTCAAATATTACATGATTTTAATACATTATTGGAAACCCTTTCTATGATGTGTATGCATTGTTAACATAATTATAAAGCATAATATGCGGAAAGATTATATTGTAAAGTACTATAAATGTCTATAATACTTAAACCAATGACAATTACACATTTTACTTACAAATTCAAGTTTCTGTATGAAATGTAAACAATATTTGTAACCCTTTCTATGATGTGTGTATAGGCCTTACTATAGTTCAATGTTTAATTATCTGTTTATAGAACTTGAAGTTGTATCTAAAAATCCTATTATTAGCATTCATTATCATGCAATTTATATTGACTTATAAAGTCTAGTCTTATATTACTTCATAGTTGCTGGTCACCGTTTTTCAAGCAAACATTGACAAGATGGACCTATAATCACATTTGAATGCATTATACAGTGTTATAAGCAGATTATTATGTGGTATGACTATATTTGCCATGCATTATAGACATGGAAACATAGGAAATGTTATAAATGTTTTGTTTTGTATATCTATATTTAATGTTAATATTTCTCTATATTTCTATGTTAAAATCGTTTTTTTTTAATCGTTTTTTAGAGTTCTTATATTTGTGGACCTTTTCTTACAATTTATGTTCATTGACTTTGTTTATGTATGCACCATATACACAAAGGCAAAATGCTCGTGTGTGTAAACCTACTTGGCACTAAACATGATTCTGATTCTGATGAGCGATGGGCTAGAAGTCGTTTTTTCCCATGAGAGATTTCTGGATTGTGTGTTTTGGTCACTGGTTTGAATTCGCCAAATTTGGAAAAGGGGATGTCATGACATGCACTGACAGTTTGGCCATATTTAAATCAAAACTTGAGGGCAGTTGTGAGGTTGTCTTTTCATGTTGTCAGGCCAATGCCATTCAAATCTGATCATATCAACCCCCACACAGTTCAGAGTAATAAAGCTAGGCACTAAAGGCAACATCATGGTTATTTTAATTCGCTGGTACATTTTGAATGTTTTGCTGTCTTGCATTTATCCTTTTAGACTGGTGAACAATGAAATAGGTGTTTATTTATTTACGTTCTCTATTTGCTTGACTTGATTTCTTTTGAAATCACCAAAAGTTAGCATTAGATTATTCCTCACACGCACAATTGACCGAAACTTCTTAACACCAAATAATTGTCTGGGGAAGTGGGGACACAGGAAGTTTCATATTGATACATATTAGTAAAATATGTATTCCCAATGTGTGATTTTGCAAAACATATCTATAAAGGCTGGAAAAAAGAGATGTTAGTCAGAGACGGAAATCTCCACTTCAGTAGCACACCAGACGTCCACTTCCATTCCTATCTATATTCTGAAGGGTTTGGAGAGTTTTGTTCATAAATAAGTCATAGGCTGATTTATAAAACAGGGCGAAATGTGTAATCACTGTTGACGATATATTAGATTTATTGAGCGATAAAAAAAGATATCCAACTCTAAAGACGTTGGACTTAAATAAGATACACTTTTTTACGGAAGAGAGGATTAGGGCCACATTTGACTTTCTTTATCAGATTTGCCCAAAAGAGATTTTCTTTGTTCATTCTGATATTAAATTCTCCAATAAATTGTGAAATGTGAGATTTAAAAACCGTTTTCAGTAGATTGAATCGATAAAACTACACTGAAATTATGAAAACATCAAATTTAATTGCACATAGTGTATGTACAATAAAGCCTTGAACAACATACCACACACTTGACACAAATGGATCCAGCCTACAGAGGATGCAGGCCTATCTGTGGCAAGAGGAAATAGTACAAAACATCAAAAGAATCGCCCTTAACTACACAGTTTGTTCGCCTCGTACTCCGTGTGGTTTGGTTGCCTGGCACTGAAAGCTTGCAGGGCCGTGAGTATCCTGGTCACGTCCGCGCTCGACAGTTTGAGCCTGTGGCGGAGCAGACAGGCAAACAGATCCACGTGTGGGGCCCCTGGGGGCGAGAGCCGGTTAACCCTTAGGCGCAGCTCCACGAGCTGCAGCAGGGCCGAGTCCTGTGATCCCTGCGTGTACGGGTAGTCTATCTGCAGAATCAGGTCCTGTATCGCCTCGGGGTCAAAGTGCACGCTGTATCCGAACAGCTGCATGCTGTTCACTTTCATGTAGCCGATGTTATTCGACGGCTCGATGGCCTCCAGAGGCTCGTAGTACACCGTGGTGTTCTTGCTGGCTCCCGCGGGGTCCCTGATGCGACTCCTCAGGTAGAAATGTACCGTTTCAAAAAAGCTCTTCCATCTGTTTCCAAGAGTTAAAGTCCAATTATAGCAGTCCAAGGGGATATCCAGTTTGGTTCGCTCCCAGTCAGGGTATCCGTGCTGACCTATAGGCATGGTCCAGCTTTCCGAATGACTGCCCCCGAAAGGATTCACAAACAGAGACAACGCCGGCTCCAGAGTGCTGTTTCTGGTGAGGCAAAACTGCAGTGCCAGTCCAAGCAGCACATGGACGCGGTTGGACTTCACCCGGTTGCTCTTGAGGGTGAGTAGCATTCTTTTCCTCCACGACGGGTCGAACCAAGTGTTGACCCGCACGTCGTTGCTCACAAACACGCCGTGCAGAGCAATGCGGGGGTCGCGCCGCTGGAGCAGGAAGCGCAGCTCCAGATCCTGCAGGTCGCGGTCGCTTTCTAACCCCAGGTAGGGGTCTGTAGGGTCGGGCACGGCAGGGCGGCAGGCTCCCTGGGTGATGGTGAAGCCAAGGTTACAGCTGGTGCATCGGGTCCTGTTCTCCGCAGAGCAGGAGGCACAGCGGGTACCGTCGCCCACAGAGCAGGGAATGAGGCCCTGGCATGGGGGGTGGGAGTAGGGGCAGGAACAGCTGCGGCTCTCATCACTGTAAACACCAACCTGGTGGTTCTCGCTGCAGTATAAAATGGAGAGGGAGTAGCTCAACCAGAAGTGCAGAGGCCTGAGGACGACATGACATTTTGTCAAACACTTTAGGGATACAGCATGGATTAATTCGCTAATACAAAATACATCACATTGAGTCTTTCATGTTTTGTGATTATGTAAAAAAATTAAATGTTTAGCCCCGAAAAGATTACCCTAAAAAATTGGTTGTTTTGATGTGCAGGAAAAACACTATTTTCGAAGAACTCCAACTCAGATGGCGTTCCAAAAGCAAAATAAGGTCAAAACGAATGTTTTAATCACAAAAAAAACCCACAAAACATGTCTTACCCAGTGACCTTAAACCACTATTGAATGATTTTTTACAAGCATAAGGGGTGTGGTAAAGTCTTATAATTGGAGTCTGGACTAAGGGGGCAGTACCTGTGTTTAACTAGTGAGTTGATTGATAATGTCATTTAGTTAATTCCCCTGCCAGAAATAGCTATCAAAATAGATTTCATGAGAGGCATACATCTGAGTGAAGTAAAGACCACCATGGTCTCTGCTGAAACAGACTACCAAGGTGGGAGTGCATCTGAGCAAAGAGCAGCCATAACATTAAAAAAAAAAAAGCAATCACATAATTTGATACAAGCTGAGCCATTCTACCATACTGAATATTGGATAGAGTACAATTACCAGCATGGAAAATAGAAATAAAAAGATACAACTGTCAGCATGTAAATAGTCTAATACTTCCAGAGCAAGTAGTCAATAACACTTTTGGGCGGTCATATTCTATGATGATAGACATGCATATTAGGTAAATGTTCAGGTTCATATTTATATGTTGTGCCTCTACTGTGACATGTCTCCATGCTTTAATGTTCAAAAAGCTCTTTACTTTTTAGAAATTCACAAAACCTATATAACACACTACAGGAAAGCCCTTATAAGCTAAATAGGGCCCCTTTAAACTCACCCTCCACCACCTTTCATCTCACTCCACAACTGCTCTGCCTCAAGTGCTTTCTAATAAGTAGCGTCCTGCTCTGCTGCTTTCTCACAGTGCCTGGCGCATAAATCATTTTCATAATTATAAGCTTTTGGGGAGCACCTTGGGTTAACAGGCTGTGGTATAAATACCCCACCCCCACCCCCACTTGTTCTCGTGTCGCCTCTTACCTCGCCCTATGCAGGACTATTTTGGGCTGTTTTCGGCACCTCTTGCTGAGGCTGAAGAGCTTGTTAACGGTGCGGCGGGCTTTGGCCAGGAGCTGGCTGCTGCCGGCCTCCAGCTGCCGGTGGCGCTGCAGCAGGCTGCTGTCCATCCTCCACATGTGTTCCACCACAGATGTGTTCACAGCGTAATGGGTTGGCAGTTTCCCAACAAAGCTTTGGAACTCCTCTGGTAGAAGGAGGAAAAAAAGAACATGAATAAGTAAAATTCTGCCTGTGGCGATGCGCCGCGGGGTGACAATACCCCCGGAAAATAAACTGTCTACTCCTGATTGTTTGTCCTAGAAAAGCAAACAGCTCCAGAGGAGAAATAACAGCTGCAACATACCAGGAAAAGCATGTTTTGTGATTTTCTTTTGAAGCGGGAACGCAGATGTCTCAGAGAACAAATTATCTTTCTGCAAAAAGATATATGGTAATCAACACCTGTTGCCAGCATACACTGCTACCCACCTTTGAGGCAACTATACATGATAGCAATGAAAGAAAGATTCCTGCCTTCAGCAACGCTCACTCAAATCCCATGTGTCAAATAGACCAAAATAAACAGATATGTCTGAAAAGTTCCCTGACATGTTTCAAGAAAGAATTTGACATGTGTCCAACGAAGTATCTGCTCACTTGAAAGCAGTGCAGTCACTCACTTTCTCTTTATATATTGTTTTATTTTTAGAAACAGACTTAAAGGTGGGGTAGGTAATTCACTTCAGAAACACTTTTTGTTATATTCCATGGAATGCTCTTAACATCCCGATAGCAATGAATACATTAAATGCTTTGACAATAAATATATACAAATATTTCATCTGTGGAAGCTGTGGAAACCGTGGCGCTGTAAAAAGCAAGACCAATTATCTGCCTGATAACTGGATGGCCTACCTGCCTGTCAGCCTTCCATCTGTGCACAAACTTATCTCGTGCCCTCATTGTGCACGTTCGTGTGTGTTGGAGGAGGGGCTCTGTAAGGAAGTCTGAAGGAAGGGAAAGTTTTTTTTTCGGTTGTGTACTTTCAAATTCTAGCGCACTCGAGCTGGTTTCTCCATTCTTACCTACCCTACCTTTAATTTAAAAACCGCTGGGTGTTATTAAAAGTATGCTACTGTGTTTTTCATCCAACATCAAACACCCTACCGTGGAACTATAGTGGTATAAAGTTCCAACAGCAGGTTCTTACTCCTGATTTTTGCTACAAAACATCAGAGTTGCTGCACATATCTTTGTTAATGAGTCTCAGTTCAGGCTAATAATCTTACGGGGCCTTATTCATAATACAAATCCTATACAAAGAATTGCTCCCAGTGATGTAAATTCAAAGGAAATTCCTTAAATTCTTACGTTTTAAAAAATGTTCCCTCACAGTTAAGTTTCTAGTAGAGATCAAAGTTTTTTCACTAAGCATCCGCCCTTAAGAGAGCTGCTATGGTGAAAACCGTTCGGAGTAAGGAGGAGGACTTTAAAAAGGCTTAGAGTTTCTTTAGCAGAGGAAAAAATAGCATAAAGGCAAAGGGGTAGGAGTGAGTTAATGAAACGCTACAGATAAAATTATTACATTTAAATGCAAATCAACGCCGCTACTTATATAGGCCAGCAATCACGGAAATTGATATAAGCCGAAACGTTTTCCTATAGTTAATATTGGATAGATTAAGTAATCAAATTACAAGCATGGAAAATAGAAATTAGGTAAATGAATATAACAAATGTCAGCATGTAAATAGTTTGCAAAGCAAGTAGTCCATAACCCTAACCCTAACATATTGTTATGCTCATTTTCAGGTTCATAATTGTATTTTGTGTCTCCATGCTTTAATTTTCAAAAAGCTCTTTATTTGCTACATATATTGGTTAGCTGGCCGGCTCTGTTATGATTGGTCGACCGCTTAGAGATGTCCGTGCCCTTAGCCTTCCACAATGTGTGGGATCGCCAGCCAATAGGAGTGCAATTGTTACATACTTGTAACATAGTGATGTCACTATGTTACAAAAGTAAACAAAGGAGTGCAATGGAGGCGTTTTAGCCCGAGTGTGGGAGAGAAACTCCCTCTGGAAGGAATACAGGGATTTCAGCCTTTACAGACCATACATGTAACCTTACAAAACCTATATAACACTCTACAAGAAAGGGAAACCCCCAAAAAGCATAATAGGGCCGCTTTAGTTTCACTGTCCATTATATGCTGATTATTATAGAAGGCCTCAAACCTAGCAGCAATCAGCGTTGCTGCAAATATATGCTTCATTTTTTGTGTAAAGGCCAGTCGGGCCACTCACTCTCTGGGACAGTATGTTAAGGGTAGTTATACTACTGACTCAATATCGACACAGTCATACAATATTAGGTGCTTGGACGCAGGCCAGGCTTTTCGTAACTGCTGGTTCATTTATGGGTGTAGAAGCCTTTTTAAAGTGCACAGAGCTGAGGGAGATTACTATAGGAGCCGTGAATGAGGCAAGTACAGTGTGCTTCATATAGCGGGCCTTCAAATCAATGCCACACAATCAATAATACAGTTACACAGTGGCGGTGAGTTACATTCAGCAACCATGATGAAAAGCTCAGTGGTGCTCTAACTGTAATGCAGCTATACACGGAGGAGTAGCACAACATGTTGCATTATTGTTTCATATCTTCATATCATTATTATTCTCTCTTGGTTCATCTTTTTGATAGAATGTATGTAGAGGTAGCCTTAATTAGTATAATCAGCAACATTTACTTTGATTATTTAGCATAAAAGTAACCAATGCAGAGACATTTTAAATGTACTGTTTAGTCGTTAGGCTAGCTAGGTGGCTGGTCTTTTAAAGCAAATCATTATATTCTAAAATAAATGTGTTTCTCCCTTGTTTCTCTTCTACTTTGTAGATGTATTAATAACGTTGTAAGACAAATGTAGTGAAATAAAAAGTACAGTCTTTCCCTTAGATGTGCAATTCAGTAATATAGGCTACTTGAGCAAATATACTGATTGACTTACCACTATAGGAGGATGTATACCACTCTCATGTGACCTGCTAGTTAGCATACCAGCTGGTTAGCAACAACATTTGCAGCTCTTCTTTAATGATTAACATTTTACATCTTTGGGTGAGGTTTGAGTAATATGCTTTTTTCCCCTTTTAAATATACTGCAAAAACAATAAATGATTTGCTAAATATTAATTCTATAGTATTTGAAGGGACTTTTTGTTTAACTTTTGACAAGAAAGCAGGTTATCCTCAACTTTATATTGTGATTCCCAAGAGCACTTTGGTAGGAATAGACTTTTGAAACGATCAGTGGAGTTGATAAGTATAATCTTACATTGACTGAAAGGTCTCATGTAGGGGTGTCACGGTGTGAAATTTTCGGCTCACGGTTATTGTGACCAAAATTACCACGGTTTACGATATTATCTCGGTAATTTTTTTTTTTTTTAGTGTTAACATTAAGGTGAACATTAAGGTAAGTTTAGGTTATTAGGCAAGAAGCCAGTACTGTATGAGAACTAAGCTGTTTAGCGCCTTACAATGGCGTTTAGTAGTGCACTAGCTACCAACGAATAGAGCATGGCACCGCAGTAGGATGTATTTTAAAATGCTAGCAGTGGGCGTGCTTACACTGACATTTAATATCAAGGTTTAACATTTTAGACAATCGGGTATATCGTTGCATTATCCCTTGACCCAAAGTCAGAAGTAACTTAATCATTAATGTGTTTCACTGCACTATTTTCACTGTCTCATGGCATATCAAAGTTTAGCTATTCAACTTAGCTTAGAATGGCGTTTAGCGCCGATCTAAGAATGGTGAACACACGAGAGCAGGTGCATTTGCTAATGTAATGTAAATGATTATTATCAAGATTTAACATTATTGACAGTCGGATATAATTGTTACATTTCCCCTTTACCCGAAGGCAAAAGTTATTTCGAGCATTTCAGCTAAAACTATGTGTTAATATTGAGTAAAAGAGGACATGTTACAATGTATATCCGACTGTCAATGGATGTGGCAATCTGCGGGTGATGAATCATCAGTTTCAGTGAGCAATTGTCGATGCTGCACCTGCCTCTCGTGCTACGTTTCCGCCGCATGGTCTGACATCGGCGCACCGTATACACCAGTCTAGCCCTCTGAGTTTAAATAGCCAAGTAGGACAAACTTCTGATTATGCCATTAGACAGTGATAATAGGTGCAGTGAAACACAGTTAATGATTAGAGTTACTTCTGACTTGTGGGTCAAGGGCGATAATGCAGACGATTATACACGATTGTCTAAAATGTCAGTGTAAGCACGCCCACTGCTAGCATTTTGAAAATACATCCTTTAGCTGCGTGCCATGCTCTACTTCAGTTGGTAAGCTAGTGCACTACTAAACGCCATTGTAAGGCGCTAAACAGCTTTAGTTCTCATACGCAGTACGGCTTCTTGGGCCTAAATAACCTAAACTTACCCTAATGATACACTTAGATGTTAACACTAAAAAAAAAAAAAATTACCGAGATAATATTCGTAAACCGGTAGGGCTAATTTGGTCACAATAACCGTGAGCCGAAAATTTGCACACCGGACATACCCCTAATTATGAAGTATTATTATTTGGGGATATAATGCACCTTCGCCTTCCTGATCAGTAGGAGTTAGAGCAGGTGTAGAGATGCTATGTAATTGATTTGATTAGGAACCCCTTCATCTTATCGTAAGACTTGCTGCAGCATTTCGCCAGATACCGGGTTATATATTGTACTACTCTTCAGCGTTGAGACGCATTTAGCTTGCTAGCATAGTCGGGATTGATGTACAGAGCCGACAGAAGACCTTGTTGTATAGGTTGGCATTGATGAGTTGAGGTGCAGCAGACGCGTTACGCTGAAACCAGGAAGGTAC